CAGTAAATGTGTACCAAATATCAATAAATGACTTTAGTTCGAATGAAAAGACTTTTTCAACAATCAGATGCGATAAGCTTAGTTCTTCATCAGTTTAATTACTAAATTATGTTATCATCGATTGCCCAGCACTACTCTTAATATTTTATCATGGCTTTATTCTAACTAATTTAAATCATTGTTGAACAAATTTAGATTGCCATAAAATAGTTTTTCAGTTTCTTTAGTCGCTGTATTGCGCTTTATACTTATATAAATGAATAACATTAACAATTCAAATGCGTTTATGAGCAATCAAGAACCGCGTCAATTCTTTAAGTTATTAATGATTGGCAACTAACAATTCTAATAAATGATATAGCAGACATAACATAAATTCACTACACTATGACGTAAATTAGTGAATCATATATGACGCCTTTGATGTAAGAAATATACCTATCGAGTTACCGGTACAAAGATCAATTAGCACGAAACGACTTACTGTGCAAAATTTTTATCTTTAATTCGTAGGAAGTTGATTGCAAAAATATCACAAATAAGGGGATTTTTGAAATTTGTTATGTTTAGAACATTTTATTTGAAAATTATAATAATGCTTGCACATGTTTGTAATTGTTCAATAATTAATAATAGTGTTAAGAGACTATATTTCAGATCTATAAGGAATTTAATTAAATAATGTTTTTTTCAGTACGTTGTTAAAATAAATATTGCTAAATCGAATGTTCATATTTTTGAATTAATTAAATATTCATTATTAAGAAATCAATGTCCTTTATTCATCAACTCTTCTACTATTTATATATTGGAATTTAATTTAAAATGAAAATAATCATGAATAAAAAGGTATAGCCGCAGTATTATAAAAAATATCATAAACACGCAAGATTGTATTATTTGATTTATTTGTTAAACTCATTACGCTTTGCAAAAGTGAAAAAATAACTATAAAAATAAATTTATTTTCATTTTAGATAAGAAAATATATATGCATCAACATTTTTCGGGTATTTTTTGTTAAATTTCAACCTCGTCGATAATCGAACTCTTATCTATTAATAACTCAGTATCATCATATGTGAACCGAAAAACTTATTACATCATAAAAATTAGTAATAATTCAGAGTTGTATAGAAATAAAAATGACTATATATTAAAAATAGACTAGAAATTAAAGAATGTATTATATGAAAAATATTGAATTTTGTGTTTACTAAGATAAATGTTACAGAACATCAGAAATAACGTGTATTTAATATCTTAGGTCGATCATCAATATTTTATCAGATTTTTATTTCTTCTATACACAAAATTTAAATTTAATGTATCAAAAGTGAAAAGGCTTACTACTGGGTAACCTTGTAGATTTAATGTTTAATATTTCATATATCATCAAAATTACTGAATGTCTTCCTTTTTGTAAAGACAGATTGTAATTCAATAAAGAGAATAAAAAAAAGATATTTATTTCTAATAAATGTTGTGTTTTAGTGAAAGGGTTTGATGATTTGAACACAAATATAAACTTTTAGGCTTTAATAAAATAAGAAACAGAATTTGATTCATAAACTGCTCAAAAACAATACCTCAATATTTGGGGTTCTGATGCCCAAACTCAAACAAATAATAAATGTATATAAATGCCACTCGTCCATCTATCCTATCTAATATTTTTTTATTAGAACTTAGTTGAGCAAATGGATTTAAATATATGGCATAACAAATTGTGAAAAGGTATATTTAATGAAATATAAAACCTTAATTGAAAGCTATATTATTTACATTTTTTATAATTTCTCGATTTTGTTATCATTTACAGCATTTGCTAAGACCTCATGCAGAAGAAGATTAATGTTCATTAACATTGAGATTGGACTAGAGATCATAATATTTAGGAAGATATTTGTGTCAAATGAGAAGTGATTGTTAAAATCGAATATTAAGACAATCTGCTTTGTGTACGATGATTTTGCAGATGCAAACTACTTAACAAAATTGGAAAGTGTTAAGGAAATAAAGAAGCAAATTTGTTGTATACTACGGGGCGAAGTTTGTACCCATTCCAGTTCAATTTCTAGTTAATTATTAATGAATATGAATGCTTGATAGACTAGATTCTTTAGAAACAACAAAATACTACTAGTAATTTGTAGTAAATCTCATTACTAATGCGAATGGACTTTATGCAAATGATTCTTAGTAGCATGTGAGTATAGACGACGCGTGTCGGCCTTGGACCTAGCATTTCCTGAATCATAATTTTGCGAGATTCAATTAACACAGGGAAAGCCATTCAAGCATTTTGATTACACGTCAGAATTATAAACTCAAATAATAAAAATACATTATAATAGTATATTTTTAAGGAATACAGTATGTATGTCCGTATGTCCTATAAGCGCTGCCTATTATTCTAAACTTTAAAGAATTTTTATGAGCAAACCATTTGTAGTGCCATAAACTTAATACCTTAAGTGTCACCCAAATCGTCAAAGTAACTTTTTTCAACAAATAATTACAAAGAAACTACTCAGAAACTAATTAGGACTATTCTCAAATGATACATTCCCAACAGATTTCAATTTTTTAAAATCAGTTCAAGATTTTTGGCAAAAACGTGGACACAAATTGGTGCACTTGTGATAGCCTCGCAAAACTAACCAATACGAGTCTTTGACGAGTTTCATCGACATCACTCATACTTTTTTCAATACGGCGTCAAACGATTTAGATTGACTTGAAACGTCCAGATAGTATGAAATGAGCAAGTCGGATTCTCAGCCAAAAACAACAATTTTTCAAAATGTTAACAATTACAAAAATGGTTAAAGAAATAATGCATAAAAAATTATATTTCAATCTTGTTTTTCCCATATTTAGCAAAATTTTTCATCTAGTACTATTTGCCAAGTATAGATCATAATTAAATAGACGAGAGAACGATAATCAAATATTGGTTCAAAATAAATTACATATACATGTCTGATCATCGGGATCCCCCGGCGGATGTTTATTTGCAAATCAATTGAATTATTTTGGCAACTATTCGCGATGTACTCATTACATAAGCCCACGTGCTATGACGTACATGTATGTACAGTGATTTTTTATATTAATCACACCTTGGAAGTGAAACATACTAATGCCATTTTAGAACCAGATCATGAATGTATTCTATCAAAATAAAATACCAAATAGATCTTTCGACCAAGAATAGGCAAAGATCTTAAAAATATCTTTAATCATGCACTTGCTAGTTTTATTAATGTCAAGACACGCATCAATCAATATCAAATCTTTGAAATAAATGAGTTGTAAGTAGCAATTCGCTTTAAGGCAAGTTGCATAAACTTTCCTATATGTACAAATAATAAACCTAGTCAATAAGCATTGAAATTCAAATAATCAGGTAAAATGCTCAACTGTTATTTCGCTTTCACTAAAAAACAATTAATGAATCAATTCAATTTCAAATTGAATCGTCTTTCAAACATACTTGACACATATGATTTTATACATTTCGGATTCTAAAAATGTATTTTATTTAATTGTAAACCTAAACTGTAATTAGTAGCCATATATGAAACATGAAATGTATATAGTAAATATATAGGGTTATTCTGATTAGATTCTTTTAAAAAATGGTAATTAAAAAGGGAAGTCTTTTAAAAAATGGTATAATTCAATCGCTTATCGCAGGGCTATAATATTTATTATATTATTTGAGACTACGAAATCTATCGTTATAGAAAGTTTCATCAAAATCGCCAATAAATTTTTTTCAGCATTTAATGACAAAAAACTAATTAACGCAATTCGAAATTAATATCTTTCTAACAGTTTTTGAATTTTTAAAATCTATTAGAAATTGTGAGCGAAACTTACCGTGTGCTACATTGTAAAGAAATAAATAATTCAGAAAAAATATTTCAATATTAAACCGCATAAGAAAAAAATAGTATTTGTGGTGCAAACAAAATAATAAAAGTTTCAGTTTCCATATACTAAAGTAGTATACAGTAGGCCCTCGCTTTACACGGCACTCTGGGTACACGGTTCCCATACTACACGGAGCTAAAAATCCGACATCCCTCCGACTACACGGACTTCTTATTACACGGTATTTGGTCAACAGCCCATAAGTTCGTTGTGCAAAAGGGTATTGTTGTAAATTTTGTTATCGACTTTTATCTTTTAGACATGCCTGATTGTATAATAGCCGCCTAAGAACACGTTTGAGCTGATTACTGCGTCGCGCCAATTTTTGAATAAGGTGTCAATTTCGTCACGTCATTTACGTCATTTCGTCCGTATTTCTCCTACTTCAAGTTGTATTTCTTGGTCTCCATACAACGCGATAAAAATGGTGCGATTTGTACCAACTCTGAGTCTCTCATAACACGGTTCCCATACTGCACTATGTAAGGTTCCATAGAACGCACTACGAATTAGCCTGAATTGTATGTTAAATACGAGTTTCTTATAGCACGGTTTCTATACTGCACGGTACGCACTTGCCGCGTAAAGCGAGGGTTTACTGTATATCTATTTTAAATAATAATCGAAAGTGTATATATTTAAGTGGTGTAACTATATGATCTACAGACCGTGTTGTGACAAAATCTTTTGATGGGGCTCCATTGGTAAAAATCGTCACCCCGTTCTAGGTTCAAAGTTAACTTTTATTAAATAATAAATTTTAATTACTTTAAATAAAAACATTTTTTTCGTGTACTCATTAAGTGCAAATACTCTTCTAGAAGAATATTTGAAAATAAAGAATCTCTTTGAATTCAATCGCAATGAATTACGATTTAAATCAACCGAATCGATTCTTAGTTAGATGAACTATGCAAAGAAATTGGTGTAGATCAATATAAATTTAAAAATATTTTTGAGCTCGCAGCCTTCAAAACCTTCTTGAATCGGGGCCCCATATTTTGCCACCCCTGCCATCCTATATAGTTACGCCACTGGTTAAAATACAATAAATTTACCTTGCTCTAATTCATCAATTTGTTTGTCTTTTCACCTTAATAGATAATTTTCTACATCACACATGATACACGACACAAAAATTTAAGACATAACCAAATTAAATTGACTGAAGCAGAAAATGACAATCTTTCTGACAGAAGTATATCTCAAAGGAAAAAATATTAATATGATTATAGTATTATAAGTATTAATAACTAGATGTCCTTACTTCAAAATTGCAATTATGTATAGTACACTATATCTGATAAATTCTTGAATTTAAATATTAACGTTTTAATGTAAATGACAAGGAGGTGTCAATAACACAGGCACTTAACCATAGATGATAGAAGAGTGTAAGAGTGCACTTAACCAAATTGTCAATGTTGGCTAACCTGAATCATGTTTTCAACTTCGCGGGAGTTGTTGACTTGACAGGTGCAAGTAAATAATAAATAAAAACTTTATTAAAATACTTGTAGTGACTTTTTCAAATATGGATATTTCGGAAAATGACTTGGATGAGAGGTGTTCTGAGGATGATACTGATTCCTCCGATGATGATGCAAGCGAAAATCCCGAATATAAAAGGTTAGTCGATTTAGTTTGGAATAAACAGGACAAAAATCATGACTCCTATGATATTCAAAGAGAAGTTCTCGAAGAAGTTCTTAAATTTGGCGATCTCACGTTAGCCTCGTACTCTTTTGAAATTATGGCCAACTGCTTTCCTCTGACTCCTGAGATATGGAAAGCTTATATAAATTTATACAGCAAAGATGATCGAGAAAATTTGGATAAGCTGATAGAATTGTATCGTAGGGCTTTGTTTGACTATTATTCGTTCGATTTGCAAAAAGATTTTATAACTTTAATACTAAGTAGTGATGTAGAAACAATAAGGGCTTCTTTCGAACAAGCTTTATCCAGAGAAGGACTGCACCCAGTATATGGTTTTCAAATTTGGGAAAGTTATCGTTTGTATGAGTCTTCAAGACTTTCAATTATAGAAGAAGACTCTCCTGAACAAGAGGTTCAATTAAAACATTTAGCAGATATTATTATTAGGCAATTATCAACTCCTCTTCAATATGAAGAGGATTTGTTATGTATTTTAACAAATTTAAATGCTGTTGCTCCAACCTTAGTAGATTTAGATGCTGCAGGTAAAAGTAAATATGAAGCACAAAAATTGCTTGAAAAATATTTGGATTTTGAAAACCAATTAGAACAAATACAGACTGAAAATTCAGTAGATAAACTAAGTATTTTTACAACCTATATTGCGTATGCTCAAAGTCAAAGTAATTCGAATCCTAAGTTTATAGAATCTTTATATTATAGAGCAACTACTGAGTTTTGTTTAAATACTAATTTGTGGCAACAATTTTGTGTATTTGCTATATCTCAGCATAAATTAGAATCATCAAGCATAACAAAGACTAGTGTTGAAAATATAATTCATAATGCTTTACGCAATGTTCCTTGGGGAACTGCTATTTGGATTTTAAAACTACGTTGGTTGGAATATTGTAATGCAAATAACGATGACATGAAATCAACATTTGAAAAGGCATTATCTTCTTGTAATTACAAAGTCCATAACATATGGATGGCATACTTAGAGTATCTGAAACGCCACACAGATTTTTCAAACAATGATTCAGTGAATCTGCTGAGAAAAACATTTCAACTCTGCACAGAAACATTGCAGAAACATTGGGGGACTTATGCAAATCCCGTAGAAATTTTAAAATTTTGGGCAAGACTTGAGTACTCTGTTCTTAAGGACCCAGCAAGGGGTAGAGAGCTTTGGAATGAAGTATTGTCTTATGATGATAATAAAACTGAACCTTATCTATGGCTCGAAATGGCAAAATTGGAAGAAGGCCGAGGTAACGAACAAGCCAGAAAAATCTATAGAAGAGCTGTTTTGGAATGTAGGAGTTATATGCTAGTGGATGCATGGAAAACATTTGAAAGGATGAATGGAACATTAGACACTTTAGAAAAATGTGTTCAAACATGTGATGAACAGGCTTATAAAATATCACAAAAAGATGTATTACAATCTCATGGTGAGTCTCATAAGAGAAGATATCACTTTAATGAAAAGACAAAAGACCATAGCAAAAAACTCAAATTTGATCAGGATCTCAAAGAGCGCAAGAAGTTGCAAGCGAAGAGAAAGAAGATAGAAAATAAAAATGAAGAAATGGATTGTGATGATGATAAGAAAACTAAGCAAATTCACAAAAGTAAAAAAAATGGTAAAGAATCAGTTGAAAACATAATTAAGGATGTTGAAATGTCTAATTTACAAATTTCATCAGAAGACAAACGAGTACAACATGATCCCACAAAAGACGAAATAACTATCTTTATCAGCAATTTAGATTACACAATTACTGAAGAACAATTAGAAGCAATACTAAAAGATAAGGGAGATCTGCAAATAAAAGAAATACGTTTAGTTAAAAAACCAAATGGAACTAATAAAGGTTATGCTTATATTGAATTAACTGATACTGAACAAGTACAAAAGGCTTTAAAAATGGATCGAACTCCGTTATCTGGTCGACCAATGTATATTTCAAGTTGTCACGGAAACAAAGAACAAAGGAAACATGGTTTCAGATATTCAGAAGAACTTGAAAAAAATAAGTTGTTTATTAAAGGGTTACCATTTGATGCAAATTCTGATGAATTGAAAACATTATTCCAACCCTATGGAGAGATTAAAGACATTCGTATTGTTACATATAGAAGTGGCAAAGCAAAAGGACTTGCATTTGTAGAATATTTTGAAGAAAGCTCAGCGAGTGCAGCGATTTTGAAAATGGATAATACTGAAGTCAGAAGCCATACGATATCTGTAGCATTATCAGCTCCACCGCCGCGGAAGAATAAATTTTCGTATCAAAATCAGGCTCCATCTGAGACGCAAGTATCAAATTCACTAGGAGGAGGCGTGGGTCAAGCACAAGGAGCTGTAAGGAAGGCAAAAATGTCTTTCATTCCTCGAAGTGTACAAAAGGCTGTTGCTGCAAGTGGGAGTAAAGATGTTGAGATGACAAATGCAGAAAACAAACCTAAGTCTAATGATGATTTCAGGAAAATGTTGCTGGGCAATAAATAATTTGAAAAACGTTTGATTTTGACTATTTTATGATTTATGTAATTAGATGTTATTGCTGAGCATATTTATATGTTATTGTTTTAATAAAAAATAAAATAGTTTATAAAAAAAATTTTTATTTGTAAAAACCACTCAATTTAATGAATATCAATGCATTATTTTCAAAAAGGGTTTTGTTAAAATATTTTGTCAATTTTTTTACGCTTTTCTGCTTTGTATTGTATTGATTCATTTCTTTCATATTATTTCACCTCTTATCAGTTATTTTTTATTCATGATATTTTAATTGATTTTAAGACTTGAGTCGAATATTGAACAATCATGAAGTAATATCGAAAATGACTTCAGTTGCCTTTAAATTCTAATAAATCGATTTGTTATTGCTTCATTACCACGAAGATGTTCATTAATTTTAAGATTTGTATATGTATTTGAAATTTGGTCATTTTTATGACTACCGAAAATACTAAAACTTATTGAATTTTAAAGGCGGACCTGATTTAAAAATGTTACATTCAATGAAACTCGATAAGTTCTTGCAATAGTTAGTTATTACGATCCGCCGATTTTCACAATTCACAAAAAATTGAATGGGTTGTGAATTAATATATATATATATATATATATATATATATATATATATATATATAACTCTACAAAATTCATTAGAATTACATTACGTGTTACTGCAAGATCCTTGACAAATGAAGCAAATATTAGACCAAACAAACACAAATATTAATCTATTCAAATACTAGGCATTCCGGCGCAAACATTCAACTGTGGCCAATCTCCTGAAAACCCTTGGGAAAATCCAAAAAACGATTTATAACAATTAGCGTATTTAAGAAAGATCAATTCGTGATTCACATTAAAAGCCTATTGCTACCATTGAAATATTGGATTTTGATGGTAGTGGGATAGATCGTCATTTGAAAGAAGACAGTATTCTGCTGTATATATACCCGGCAGAGTGCTTCCAAAATAAAAATCAGTTGAGGAATTGAGAAAAGTGGTGTCTAAAGTGAAAAAGTGTAGAACGTAGAACCAGAAATCATGAATAAGGTAATTTAATTTAATAAAACTAATTCATTTAAAAAATTAATTAAATAATAGAAAATAATTTAATTTTGATTACATAATTTCCGAAAGTGTATGCAATAGTAACTTTTAATGCAATAGTAATTTTTAAAATTTTTGTGAACACTACTACAGCTCTCTTAGTGTGTGTTAGAAAATTGTCACAAAATTAAAAAAATAAAAACAACAAAAATTATTATGGAATAAAATCACTTAAATTTTAAATTAAATTTAGAAAATTTAAGCGCAATTAATTTATAATTGTTCTTTATAAAGAAAATAGAGTTTGCATCATAGAACTCAAAGTCAAAGTGAGATTAACTCATTTTTAATCTGAAATAAAAATACCAATTTGGTAACTATGTAAAAACATAATATAAAAATAAATTTAATACGCCTGTATGTTTAGAAAAAAAACCTTTTCATTAAATTCTATGGTGATTTTCAACATTTTGTGAGATAAAACCAGAAAAAAATCATTCATAAAGAAATTCAACATTTAAGTAGATGTGATATAAATTTTAATGTAACTTGTATTTTCATATTTTGTTTTTACTAAACTATAATTAATAGAATATCCAGCATGTTTAGAATTTCACCACCCAATGTTCAAAATTACGTTTTTAGACTTTTACCGATTTAAATTAAAACTTTTAATTATTACCCAGTTTCTGAAATGATGGTGGTTTTCACTTTTCTCTATAGCATTTAATTAAATTACTATTATCAGGAAAATAATGTTCAGAATATTTCACAATCAAATTTCTCGAATATTTTACTGTATGATTTTATTGTGAAACAATATGCTAAATCGGAATAGTAGCTAATTCACGGAATCATAATTTTCAAAAATCTAATACAAGGTAGAAATAATGCGATTAATCGATAGAAGTTTGAAAATATAAGTTTTTGGAAATACGACAATCACGATTTGTAGAATTGTGTAATCGATTGTAAAGCATAATAAATTCTGGACAAATATATCACTATGAAAGTAAATAAAAGATTTTGTGTCAATATAGAGAATAGTATAATAATATTTTTAGCATTGAGCGGTTATGAAAATATAAATATAAATAGAAGTGTGTTAATTAAATTTTACACGTAATTGGTAATGAACAGAAACATTTCATGGATAATTAAGATAATCCGGATGAAGGTCCAATGCCAAAATATTACATATTTACAATACAAATGAATGAATTGAATCCATGAATGAATACATATGATTGCACAATCGAAGATTATTGAATAAGTTAAAAATCAGAGAAGACCGATGCCTAGTGAAAAAAACTTCGAAATTTTATGTGTATATTATAAAATATAAACTATATAAAAATAACAAATTGTAATAAAAAATCGTTCAACTTTACAAAATTTAAAATTGAATAAGGAATAAATTCAAGGTTCCAGAAATAAATCTTTTTTAAATTCATTTTTTAAATGATAAAAAAAAACTCAATTGTATAATGTATTATTGTAAACTGTTTTAAAGAATATATAATATAATATATAAATGTTCATAAAGATAAAATAATAATTATAGTTGGAAAAAAATTGGAACATGAAAATTTCATACATAATTATGTATGAAGTCATTTAAATGAGTAGATTTGTTGAATAAAAATCGAAAATTTTGTTTAAAGAAAAAAACACCTAAAGGAGTTTAATTGAAATTCTACATAATAGGAAACGGTTGTAAATCAATTTAGAAAACGAAATTATATTAAATAAATATATAATAAATTACTATGAAAATTTTTCTTTAGCTAGATACATATTATTAGACCAGCGATTCAATAATATCACACAATATTATCACAATCCTAAATAAATATTAGATATTAGAATATCTATTTAAAAGCAAACGTATTTTTTATTAAATAAAAAACTTTACAATGAAAACAAGAAACAATTAATGTTCTGGAGCAGAATTTAACTATTAGATTACGAATAAATAGATATGAAGTATGGGCGCGTCTATATATTTAAATCTTCATTTCGCAAGTGCTAAATGTACTAACAAATTTGCTCATTCTGAAGGTCGCTTTCGGATTATATTTTCTGGTCGTTGTCGCTTCTGTGTGCGCAATGCCGAGGCCCGAGGAGCGAATTATCGCCGTAGAAGTAAATGAACCGTCCGCCGATCTAGAAACGGCCGAATCAGCCGGATACGGAAAATTTGGAGGTCTAGGAGGTTTTGGAGGCTTAGGTGGGTTCGGAGGTTTTGGTGGATTTAAACCTTACGCCGGACACTTCGGCTACCGACCTTTCTCAGGATTTTACCAACCAATAAAACCTTTCGGTTTCGGAGGTTTAGGAGGACTTTATAAGCCATTTCACGGATAGAGGAAAGAGGAGCTATACTGCCGCGTTGTGAAAATAATTTATTTTGTAACTTTAAATAAGCTGTCTAATAAATTTGTAATAAGTTTTGTAAATAATTTAATAATAAACATGTTGTCATAAAGATTTTTTGTCTAATTGCATTTAGATAGTTTTTTTATATAAAATAAAATCCAGGCATGATTCCTTTCACAGGATATTAAACCATTCAAAAAAAAACATTGCAGAGCCATATGAAGAATGATGGAAATATATATGTAAAATTAAAAGATATAAAAATGAATATATCACTAATAGCCAAACGCTAACAATTTAAAAAAAAAAATTTGATTTTCAAAATGTATTGTTTTTATTTACAACAAATGCAGCATTTTATTTGTAAGATATTTCAATACCTTCAACCTGGGGGTCATGATTTGTCCATATACTACTTCATTTTTTTCTGCTGAATTAAATGTTTGCGAAGTGCTTTCTGTTTATCTTGAAATGATCTCTTTATTTTACCTCTAATTTTATGCTTGATCATTTGAAAGTTCTTTTTCTTACGTTTTTCTCTATTAGTTTTTGAGCAATGAATATTCATTCTACCATCTTTATAGCCAAACCTTAAAATTGTATTAGAAAATGTGAGCTCCATTATATTAAACAAACTTTGATATATTTTTTTTATGTTACATTAATATTGTTTACATACTTTTCTCTATCCTTTTGTCCCTCTTTGACTGTTTCTAACCGTGAAGCTTTATCATGTTTTCTTTTTTTGTGAATATTTTCAATATCAGCAAGGGATACAAGTTCTTCTGCTGGTCTTTTACGACTAGCTGGAAGAACTTTTGCCTTTGCTTGAGCTATTTCCATTTTTCGATAATCAGCGTCTGTAAATATTCTCTCCATCGATAGAAGTTGTGCAGCTTCTACTTCATTTATTTTTGGTTCAGTAGCATCTTGAAAAGAAAAAGTGCTAGTAAGTTCAATAGCAAAAAGTTTTTATTATATTTGTAAAGTACAATAACATGGATACTATCACTGCATAAATATAAGTAAACAAACCTTGATCATTCTTTTCATCATCTTTCGATGTTTCTGCTTCATCTGCACTTTCTTCCTCAAGTTCACTATCCGATATATGGAGTTCAGAACCTGAGTTTTCATCGAGATCAACCCAATCAGAATCATCAGAGTCAACAGCAGATTTCTCATCAACCTCATCTTCTTTGTCCTACAAAGCCACAGCATAATTGAGAGAGAGGAATATAAAAAAAAAATAGATTTATTCTCTAAAGAATAATTTTGATAAAGCTTTATTTATTTTAAGTTGTATTTGGCTCAGGTAGAATGTAACTTTAGTATCTCTAAGGTAATCACTTACTTCGTTACCAAGTTTTTTAATTAATACTTCAGCACCAGGTACATAATCAGGTGCCCTAATTTCACCATATTTCAATGGCACAATAGAAGCTTGATGTTCAGTTGGACGACCACGATCTTTGCGATGCAACAATTCTGGATATGCTTCCCTAAAATATTCATTCATTACTAAAATAATTTTACAAAAAAATAGTGATTGTGAAAATAAAGTTATGATCACCTGTATAAATGTATCAGAGATTTTGCAGCCATCATGACTGATCTATCACGATATGTTTTAAATTGCGCCAAATCTCTTAGTAAATCTTCTTCCATAGCGAGAGGACATCTTGAGCAAATCTCCCTGATAGCATTGAGACTAAAATAAAAATAAGCTTTAAATAAGATTTTTATATTATTGGACAATATATATGAATAAGAAATATACCCAATAGCAATAACATCAGAAGAATTCCGCTCCGTAACAAAGTTATTTACAATTGCTCTCAACACTGAATGCAAAGTTTCAGGAGGTAGAAGATCATGAGATGCTTGCGCGGTAAACTGTAATATACGTGTTACTTCACGCTGATGTGGTTGAAGATATCTTTGCATGTAAGGATAGATATTGAAGAGGAACAGTTCATGCAATCCTATGAGACGTGATATAACATCTAAGGTCATTAATTTCACTTCAAATCTTTCATTGGCAGCTTCTAATTGTTTATATAAACCCTCAGCTAGACCCTAATAATATAATTTTAAACAAAATTTTATAAATTTATTATAAAGAATTGAAATAAGAATTTAAACAAATTTATTGAAATGAAATATATAAATAACCTGTGGATTATGGACCAACTGCAAAGCGGAATAATTGAAAACTGGAGCATTACTCTTTTTCTTTTTATTTTTGGCAACTGCTTTCTTAACTTTTGTTAGCTGCTTCTCTCTTTTTCGCGATTTTTTATTGACCTGGATTATCAATAGAATTTATAAATGCCTAATTTATAAATGTTTAAAATAGTTTTCTAATTACTATATACCTTATTTGCCATCATAACTTCTTTTGCATTGGGCTCATCACTATCACTTTCATCGGAGTCTTTTTCATTTGGATCTGAACCAAGGAAAAATTTTAGGGCTGCTACTCGAACCTGGGAGTAATTAATAAAAAAATCATTGTAAAGATTCAGATTCTGAAGCCTAAATTTATCATGATATGTACCTTTACAAGCTTCGAAAAACATCCATTATTAGCAATAACATTCACAGTTTTTATATCATTCCAAACATTCTTTTTATACAAATCTATCATTATATCAATTGACATCTTGGCAGCCCTTGTATTATTATCTTTCAACATAGAGTACATAAAACCTTGAAGACTCTAAAAATATTGAAAAAAATCATTAATAATACTCGTATCAAATAATTCAAAACTTAAAAAAAGTGAATATTCTTACTGAATTAACTTTAGCATCCTTATGCTTTGCATTCATATTTTTAATATCTGTAACAATATGTGTTTGCAAAAAAGTCCTTAAAGCCTTATCTGAACATCTCAATAATGTAAAAAATAATTCCAACAGCACCAATGCAGGTAACAATTTTTTGTTTCTTAATAATATCAACGCTTTACACAAAGTCATTCGTGTGGTTGGATCCAATACGGGCCCATGGCTTTTCAATAAATCAATCAAGGTTTGTGGAAAATCCTGAAGCTCTGAAGGAAAACATGAAGATACCTACAAAAAAAAAAACTGAAATAAAACCAAATTGATGTGAATATAATGGTAAGATGGCACACACATACCTGTGCTAAAAACATGACAAGCTCATCCAAATTTTTGTCATTTTCTGTAGGTGTTAGACGAAAAATATCTATTAAACTTTGAAAATGTTTATACTGTTGTATAAACTCTTCCTTATACGATTCTGAATCTCTTTTTATAAGATTCTGCAGCTGTGGCAAATTATTTGGCAACTGATTGTTGTGACGCACCATTTTGGTCAAATTATAAAATAAATATTACTCTAAATCATTGAATAAACACTGAACATTTCACATAAATTCATATATCACTAGAATTAATTATATTTGTAGATTTAAATATAATTTTTATATATAAATAACACAGGTTATGTTGAATGTCAAATGAACCACGTGCAAAAGAAATATTGGTATTGCCTGATGATATTTATGTAAGAACGAAACTTTCAAAAGATCAAATTATTAAATAAAATATCAGTAGAAAGTTGAGTTATGTTAATCCTATTACGTCTTTGTTATAATTATGGTTATAATGTTATTATTAACATTATCATTATTTATATACTATTATCCATTTTGCTAATGATTTATATTCTCTATGACGTAAACTGTCAAATTGACAGATGAACCTCGAAAATTTGTGGTTATATAATGTGAATATGTTTAATATATTTTTCACATAAAATGTAAATTATAATTATATAATGTTGTGAAATAATTGTTGATTCAATAAACAATGGGTGATACAGATAACACTGCAATTCCAGAATGGATGGTAAATCAATAAATTTGCAAATACTTATAGGCTTACTTGCATACTAGAATAACTTGCTTCTGTTATTTCTCTATTATTAAAATAAAATATTAATGCAAGTTGTTCAGGACTTTTCACTATTATCATACATTAATAAAAAGACATAATAGGTCTAATGAAGACCTTCTGTAATTCAAATTACAATTATTTCAATATTCATTCAAACGATTTAAGAGGTCAGGAAGCTTTGATATATTTTGTATACCCATTTTTTTAATAATTCAATAAATATCATAGATGTACTGACATTGGGATTTAACTATACAGTGCTAAACAAAAATTTATTACAGATTAGGCCTTGCGATATGTATGATGAAGAATATGATGATTGTAGAAGTATTAAAGCTAGATTTCATCAGTACTTTATATTTGGCAAAGAGTTAGATTGTGAACAGTGGAAAACTGATTATAACAATTGCATAAAATATACGAAAAATAATGATCTACAAGCCGCACAGGAATTAATAGATAGTGAAACAAATAGGCGACGAGAGCGTTTAAAGGTAAGTGATTATATAATTTTTTTTTATTTATTTAATGCTCATGGCAATAGTTTACCCTTTGTACTCCAGACTTGTAAAACGACTTAAAGATGAACATACTTTGGTTTCTTTTCGGGTTAAATTATATAAATAACTGATTTATGAAAGTTTGGCTATATTTATGAATTGTATGAATACAATGTGTGTAAAATTACTACAATAATAGTAAATCTACTACAATGATTGTAAAAATACTACAATGATTGTAAAAATACTACAATGTTTGTAAAAATACTACAATGGGTGTAAAGTTACTACAATGTTTGTAAACAATACTACAATGGGTGTAAAAATACTACAAAGTTTGTAAACAATACTACAATGGGTGTAAAATTACTACAATAATAGTAAATCCACTACAATAATAGTATTTCTACTATAATGATTGTAAAAATACTACAATGTTTGTAAAAATACTACAATGGGTGTAAAATTTCTACAATGTTTGTAAACAATACTACAATGGGTGTAAAAATACTACAATGTTTGTAAACAATACTACAATGGGTGTAAAATTACTACAATGATAGTAAATCCACTGCAATAATAGTAAATCTACTACAAAGATTGTAAAAATACTACAATGTTTGTAAAAATACTACAATGTTTGTAAAAATACTACAATGGGTGTAAAATTTCTACAATGTTTGTAAACAATACTACAATGGGTGTAAAAATACTACAATGTTTGTAAACAATACTACAATGGGTGTAAAATTACTACAATAATAGTAAATCCACTACAATAATAGTAAATCTACTATAATGATTGTAAAAATACTACAATGTTTGTAAAAATACTACAATGGGTGTAAAATTTCTACAATGTTTGTAAACAATACTACAATGGGTGTAAAAATACTACAATGTTTGTAAACAATACTACAATGGGTGTAAAATTACTACAATGATAGTAAATCCACTGCAATAATAGTAAATCTACTACAATGATTGTAAAAATACTACAATGTTTGTAAAAATACTACAATGGGTGTAAAATTTCTACAATGTTTGTAAACAATACTACAATGGGTGTAAAAATACTACAATGTTTGTAAACAATACTACAATGGGTGTAAAATTACTACAATGATAGTAATCCACTGCAATAATAGTAAATCTACTACAATGATTGTAAAAATACTACAATGTTTGTAAAAATACTACAATGGGTATAACATTACTACAATGTTTGTAAACAATACTTTGTAAACAATGGGTGTAAAATTTCTACAATGTTTGTAAACAATACTACAATGGGTGTAAAATTACTACAATGATAGTAATCCACTGCAATAATAGTAAATCTACTACAATGATTGTAAAAATACTACAATGTTTGTAAAAATACTACAATGGGTGTAAAATTACTACAATGTTTGTAAACAATACTACAATGGGTGTAAAATTACTACAATAATAGTAAATCCACTAAAATAATAGTAAATCTACTACAATGATTGTAAAAAATACTACAATGTTTGTAAAAATACTACAATGGGTGTAAAATTACTACAATGTTTGTAAACAATACTACAAAGGGTGTAAAATTACTACAATGTTTGTAAACAATACTACAATGATTGAAAAAATACTACAATGTTTGTAAAAATACTACAATGGGTGTAAAATTACTACAATGTTTGTAAACAATACTACAATGGGTGTAAAATTACTACAATAATAGTAAATCCACTAAAATAATAGTAAATCTACTACAATGATTGTAAAAATACTACAATGTTTGTAAAAATACTACAATGGGTGTAAAATTACTACAATGTTTGTAAACAATACTACAATGGGTGTAAAATTACTACAATGTTTGTAAACAATACTACAATGGGTGAAAAAATACTACAATGTTTGTAAAAAATACTACAAGGGGTGTAAAATTACTACAATAATAGTAAATCCACTACAATAATAGTAAATCTACTACATTCATACCCATTGTATGAATTGTAAATGTGTAAATTGCAATTCTGAATTAATTTATTATAAACTACTTTTTTCAGGGTCACTATGGAAATACTACATGGCAGAAACGAAAAGAGCCACCACACGACTGGAATAAACCTTTACCTGAATGGCTAGCTAAGCAAAACGAACATTCATATTTAGAAATTAGAAAGAAAGAATTAGTGAAGGATGGTAATTCATTGGCAGATAGAACATTTTGTGTTATAATGTAGATTTGTTAATAAAGTAGATATTTATTGTAAACTTACATGGATTTTTTATATCTAGAAGTGGTATAATTTTTATATTTAGTGGTGATAGTGACAATTTATATTTCATTAAGTGTATGATGCACAATGGTTTCCATTTAAAATTATTTTAACTACTTTTATGATTAAATTAAAGATACTTTGAATCAAACAAGTTTTGAATAAACTCAAATTACCTTTATTGAAATATTGTATATTCTTATATTGTGTTATACTTCATAATTGTGACATTAATATTTTAAAATTTAACCTAGCAGCCCCGATGTATGTGCGGTGCGGTACCTCAATCATTTGCCGACTTATCAATTTCTATGTCCTTTCGATATTTTTTTAAGATACATTTGTTTACAATATTATTTATGACTTTTAAAAAAAATTTGGAATATAAAAATAGTGTTAGACAAACCTCAACAAAATTAAATTTCCTACAACAACTCGGTATACCAATAAATAACTTTCTATCTCTAAATTTGAATCCAATTAGTCTCCAAAATATTATTTCCAATCATGATGCAACATTTTTATCTATACAATTAGTATCATTGCATAAATCTTTTAATCATTATTAAGATAACACAACTATATATCTTATTTTTTGTATAATGTGGGCGGATGGAAAATTTAAAACGATATAGATAATGCATGTATTATCTTCAAAATCAGGGCTATCTTATAAATAGATTAAATTTGAAAACAATCATCATTTTAACAAATTTAGTCAATGCGCAAAATTGTTATTTTATTTTAGGTAATCATACCTAATTAATATTTGAAAAATATTAAATTCATATAAAGAACAAGAGAAAATTTCAATTAATTCATAATAAACAGCAAATTTGTCTGTATATTTAAGGTGTAACAACATATACTTTTCCTTAATTTATGTTTTTTAGATTAATTTATTATTAAACTAATAGAACATTTAAAGTTGGCGCTTTAAAATGGCG